GAGTATCGAAGAGAGTAAAAATAAAGATTAGTACAAAATAATATGAAATGATTTCTTGTTACTATTTATTTATTTATTTATTTGAACACATAAATATTGGTACAAGAGAGCGCCAATATATATGCGCCACACAAAACAATGAGAATTCGAAGAGAAAAGAAAAAAAGGCAAGGAGCTTAAAAAAGAGAGAACAATAACGAAGAGATTGTTGTAAGGTAGTGTGGTAGTAATGAGGGAACGGAAAGGTACAATCGGAAGAAATCTTTCAAGTAAGGGAGACACATCCAATTTTTATGAAGAAAGTAAAAGAAGGTTACAGCAGGATCGCCACTGGCTTCTATTCTGAGCCATATCTGATAACGTCTCTAGCCACTGTGTAGCACCATCTCTCGGACCCCAACCAGGGAGTCGTGAAGGACCAACAGAAGCCAGTCCTTTGCACCTTTCTTTCATACCACGACACCATGTCATACACTGACCACCTCTCCGCTTTTTCCAACCAGTCCCAGAGTCGGCAAATAATGCACAATGTGGAATTCTCTGGGACGACATTCGGAGAATATGTCCAAGCCACCGAAGTCGGTGTTTCAAGATGGCGACACCAATTGAATTATCATCTCTGTGCCCAAAGTGTGATTAGGTTCTCATTAGTTGCTAACATCTTATATAATATTTTAAAATTGTCATAGAAATTGACATACATATAAATACGAAGGTGATTAAAAATGAATATATTTCAAAGATTTCAATAATGTTAATAAATAAGATCGTTTCAGCTAAATAAAAATATAAGAGAGAAAGTTCCGAAACATCAAAAAATGGTGATTAACATTCAAATAAATTTAACAAATTTTAGGTGTTCAAAAGGGGGTTAGAAACAATTGATTACATAATGAATAAACATTGATAGGAATATTTGACGAATATATCTTCAATTTAACTTCCAAACAAATCCTCTCATGTAAGCAGTTTAAACCCATTATGTAATTGTGATTTTTAAATATCACAGGTTGTAAGCAGTTGACGAGAACCTACGAAATGAAATGAATTCATGCTATTCTGCTAGAATCTTTGTTCTTGTTCTTTTCAAAATGATAAAGGGAACAATGTGTATGAAACTTTAGATGGTTGCTTAATGAAGTAGCTAAACACAAAACCCCAGATAAATGGTAATAAAGAATAATATTAGTTCTGAATTCAGTCAATTAGAATTAAAATTATGGATTTAGGACAAATAAAAATGATTTAATCAAAAATTGAGGAAGAGTTGAAATAAAGAATGATGCAATAAAGCAGTTGTAATAATACTAAAGTAAAGAAAAATTCATTGTTGTTTCTTTTTGAATATATAAATCTAATTTCAGACGTTTGTTCGATAAAGCTTCAGCAAACCTCAAATGATTGAAATTTGATTGTTTATTAATCACCTTGATACGAAAAGTACTGAGTCCTAGTTTCAGTGTAGACGTCAACACACTGGGATCTAGGTACATCAGACTGACCAGTCGTTAATAGGATGAAACGTGAATTTTAGATTCTACCATTAGCAATAATCCCTTTTTATAAAGGCTTTGAATATTATATGTGCAGGTTACTCCACCTTTCTGATAAATAATCGAGTATTTTCGCTAGTTACTACATAAATAGAGTGTAATCCCTACGTAACATTATGATCTGATTGTTTGCATACTCAAATATTAACTGTTGGTTATAGTGTTTATCGTCATTCATTGTTGTGACTCAACATCGCACACCAGGTTTGTACATTGTCGTTATGCTGTGAGTTTTCATAATTTCTTCCCCCACCCCCCAAAATGATTTTCTTTGTCAAATTGTATATGTTTTGTTTTGCTTTATTTTTCTATTGTGTTACAGTTTTTGGTGAAATTCATACATATGATATCTCATTTTGCAATTCCGATTTATGGCCTGCATATACTACAACGAGTAGTAGTAACAGCAACAATTCAGCGGATGTTTATTTCTTGGCCCATTTGTGTCAAGAAGAAACAGATGATGATGAAAATAATAATTCTTCAACATCTAATAAAGAACCGTCTATCGAAATAATCCAATTGCCTCAATTTGTATTTATTTGTCAGCAGTCAATTAATTCTATTCAAACTTCTTGTCAAAATGTTACAAATCTAGGCATGTGTATGACATTAAAAGGAATTGAAAAAACTTACCCCATAAATCAAATACATTCTATTCTATTGGCTGGCTTCGAATCTGGGCACTTAATTTTACTAGGTGATGGTCGAGTGTTAAGTGTGCTTAATTATCCTTTGGGTCAATCTATCCCCATTATGACACTTTCTATTCAACCTGTTTTTAAACAACAATTATGTAAGGAAAGTGCAAATCGAATGGAAACAAATGTCGAATTCGTTGTTTTGGGCGGACCTAGTGTGGATAGTTGTGATACAGATACATCGGTCGATGGAAACATAGCATTTGTACAATTGGAATTCGATTCTCAAATGTCAAATTATTTTAGATTGTCTAAAATTCATAAATCACTTAATAATTGTATTACTGGTATTTCATGTTTTGCATGGCGTGATGACGGCCGTCTGTTAGCAGTTGGTCAATGGGATGGTAAAATACGTTTAATTGACGTGCATTTCAAAAATAATCTACTTAAAATCAAATCTTTAGGTTATCTATCTAGTTTAGGTAGTTTAAATGAAGGGAGTTTAATTGGTGAGTGGAGTTCTACAACACTGACTCAACCACATGGACCTAATATCGATCAACAATCCAGACTAATTCGATCATGTACATTTACAAAACAATCTCATTTTCTCATTACATCGGTTCCAGCAAATGGTGGAGCATTAGGTAGTTTACTTGTATGGGATATTTATAGATAGATTTGTGGATATTTTATTTCAAACTTTCAGTTTTGTATCATTCTTGATCTTTTCAAAGAAAAATAACTACAAAATACACATGCATTATTTTTGTTAATAGAGTGATTTCATTTTGTTTCACCCTTGTTAGTTTTTCGTTCTATATATTTACGAATTATATGAAAATTACATGAAAATTTAAATATTTGAATTAAAAAGTGGTTACATTTGAAATAGTTCCGTGTATTAATTCTCGATGATGGTTTAATAATTGCAGTACTCAACCATGAAACCAATATATTTCATGTTCTAACACCAATTCAAGTTAGATAGTAGGATAGTACCACTAACTTTCTATTATGATCAACGACCTTTGGTTCTTATATGTTTATTCAACTGCCCATATAAGTGAAGAAACTGAGAAACAACTAGAATGCTATAATTGGCAGAGCCGAATATTTAGGTATACAAATCATTAGTATACATAAATTTGTACATATGATCCAGACGAGGATACGTAGGCTGAAACCTTGACTAGCAGCTTGATTCATTAATAAATTAATTTGTCATAATGGCTCTACACAAATAAATGTGTATAATTAGTTGTTGTGAATTGATAATTAAACAAATGGGACGATTATTGAGTTCATTTATTTTCCGCCCCCGAATGCCCTGGTACGGCCGAGAGTGGGGAGAGTTCGCTCTCCCTCTCGAAATGGTCTCACTCGGCCACGCGTATATATTCTCTGCCAGGGAAGTTCTACTCACTGCCTTCTCGTGGCGGGGGTGTTGTTTACGAAAATGAGAGGACGAAAAGCGAATGTCCGGCACTTTAACCGAATTCCAAACCAATGGTGCACATGGGCTGGCTCCAGTATCCTGCGGGAACAGATGGCGTATGAACCAATTGTTGGTCACCGGCTTCCATGTGACCGCATCTCCTTACGATGCTCCACTGCGTTGTGGATCAGACCCTCAGGTCAAAGGCTCGGGGTCTAGCCCCCTAAGAAAACCACCTGCTACGGTTTGGGCACCCGGGCAGTATCATAGCCCTCACATATATCGAATGAGGTTTGTGTGGCGCATATGCATTTGGTGCCTCTTTGTACCAATATCTATGTGTTGAAATAAATAAATAAATCATTTATTTTCCAAAAGTATACTTTACTAACAAACCAATCAGATTAAGGATATCGGCTATTAAATTTTCTCACGGGTTTCAAAATCTAGTGGCGGATACTTGTATCTTACTAACAGTTAAATAAAAATGACCAATAATCAGTTATTAGGATGCGTTAAAAGCTTGTGACTTAAGGCTATATCGAGGCAATCCGCACATATGCCAACATAAGACTGATCAATTGCAGTCCTTAATAACAATGGGAAGATACAAGTAAAACAATACCAAGTGAAGTTATTAGGATGGTTTTTTGAGATGATGATGATGATTTGTAGCTCAGATGGGTGATTTTGACAAAGTTTTGTTCTCTGAGCTGGGTGGTTTGGTCGTGGGGCTTTCATCGTTGTTCTGAACGACATGTTCAGTACAAACTTCAGGTACAAGTCTACCAGCTCATAGAACAAAACTCCATCAAAATGGTTTATATCGACAACTTATGAAGTTTTAGGACAATAATTTGTGATTCTTCTGAAGGAACATAAAGATTGTTATCTACAACCACAAAACTAGATGCATATTTGTTCATCCATATGGCTACACGGTATTGCTGACCACTTCTCTTTCCTAATCCAAGCTGGTAACCCTAACTTCTGACCTTAAATTCTTGCGTTTCTGGGGGATATTACATAACTAACTACTTAATTATATCACCTGCATTTCGACTGGCTATAAGTTGGTTTTAGTTTTCAAGTTCATTTCATGAGTTTCTAAAGATCTTCAGTCAATTCTCCCTTTGCCCAGTTATGCAGAAAGGATGATGAAGTGATGAATTAACTCGCACTGTTAAATAGTAAACTACTGAACTGACGATATAAATATTTTGTTTGCAATATGAAGCTCAAGAAGCTACTGGATAGTCAACATTGCTGGTTTGAATATATGTATATATATAATCAATAACTCCAGTTAACTACCACTGGAACCAACATGTTTGTCGCCATTATTGTAGATAGAAAGCATAAAATTTAATAGAAGTCTTGTTTATTTACTGTTGGTGATATACATGTTTTATGCATATTTGTTTATATATTCAAATATTATGCTAAATACGACTAAAAGCAACTGAACATAAAAAGGACAACATCACTGAAACAAGAAATATAAGTATATATATATGTTCGAAAAATGCTTTAAATATAAATTCACAAGAAAATGTATCACGGTTTAATGGAATGTCTAAGAGAACGGAGGAGAAACAGTTTAAACTAACGATATGGATTTGTCTCTGCGATTGTTTGACTCGCGCCCTCCCATCCCTGACCCCATTTTCAGTCATAAAAGAAGTAGAGCAATATATAAATAAAAAAATGAAATCAAGTCAATGGTATAAAAAGAACTCAGAATAATAATAACCAATGGAATGATAAATAACAATAACGACATCAACTACACATAAGAAGTCAAGATTCAACCACGTTTCAACTTAAAACCATAAAATCAAATGAAATCAAATAATAGTATCATTGCTGTTAAACTTCTAGATTAGGACTCCCTTTAGTTTGTTAATAGGTTGGTCCGTAATATTGACCGCCGACACCACCTACAGGTGGCTGTTGAATATTTCCACCATAAGGTTGTTGCTGCTGCTGGCTCATCGGGTCAGACATCATACCAGGATATGGCTGACCTGGAACACCAGTATTTGGATCCATAGTTGAACCAGGTTCACCTAGTCCTTCTTCTGGAGTGAGACCAGCTTGGCCTATTCGAAATCGTTGCAATGCGAAAAATGTGATTCCACCCTTAATTCAAATGAAATTAAAATCGACAAATAATAAACAACCGAATAAATCCATTGAGTAAGATTCTCTTAATTAGATTTCCTCTATTTCTTTTCAAATAAAAATTATTTAACTACTATACAATGAGAATATTCTAATAAACTCACGTAAGTCAATCGAAATTGGTGTTCGGTGGTAAATTGAAACTTGCAATTGATTAGACTATAAAATCAAAATGATATTGTTAACAGACAAAACAAGGATTTCACTCTATAATATCCGGTTGTTCATTTCTACAAATGATTCTATTGTGGAAAAGTTATTCATGAACCATACAATTAGACTGTATATTTGGGTTGTAGCACTCAATTGTTTAAATTTGTTTCAGTATGTTTAATTTAATCCCCATGCTTCTATATCTCATTGATTGTTTATTAATAAAATCATGCGTTCAACACTTTCTAGTCTAGTGTTCTTGGATATGTGTAATTTTGTTTTGGTGATAAGAATTAGACATATTTTTAATCGATACCAATTAAAGCTCTTGTATTCTAAAAATCTTTGTTATAAGTTTCCTTTTTTAAAAATGTTTTTCGACTATTTCCTATAGAATGAACATATCAGTCAAAGTAGAAGCAAGTTCATGATTGATAATCTTAAAATGTTAAACGTTAATAAGAAGTATTCTGTTCGTATTTAGAAACTGGTTCTTCGCCAGTAAATTTTCTAGTAATTAAAACGGAGTAAAATGTTTGATTTCCATGCATCTCATTGAAAATATTTTCTTTTAATATTAGACTACTATTTATATTATTATTAATAGGTGAATAAAAGTGAACTTATTACGAGAAATTATCACAGTGGGTGGGTGGAGATAATAAAATTTCATAATTTATATCACGGATTGATCATTTTTAGATAACCATTGAAAAATAAGGACAGCTGTTGTTCGAAAATGGGACAGCTGTTTTTTCGTAGAATGGCATACTTCAGGAGTCCTTATTCTAGACTCTATCGAGTTTCAGAACCTTCAATTCTCATGGCGTAGGTTTAACATTTAAACCACTGAGTTAGCATCCAATGGTTAAGGGCTTGTTACAAGACCCGAAATTCAAGGAAACGCCCACTGGTGTGGTCTTAAATGTGAACTGCTGAGGTATTCTATACTAAGACAAAACATGTTTAGTGCTTCTTGGTTTTCAGTGGTTATCTAACTAAGATCAATCTGTGATGTGAACTATGAAATATAATAATTGACTAAAATTATGCGGGTTTGCAAACAACAACCTCGAGAACAGTTTTGATTTTAACAAGTAATAAAGTGTATTATGACTCATTCAACTAAATAGCTGTTTGAATATCCCTAAAAAGTAACCTTAAATTAAAATCAACTTGATGAATAAATAGATAAAACCTACCCAAATTGCAATGGACAAGAAGGAGAAGACTATCGCTGAACGAGCATTACTTTCCTGCCATCCTTCTACTTTGTGTTGCCCAAGCCATTCATCAGAAGTGTTTGTCCATTTGTTAGCAAGTAGACAAAAGCTCACAAACCATAGAAATGTCCACAAACCTATTTATTCGAAATGCATATTATTTGTCTTTACGGAAAATATTACTAATAAATATGACATTAAATCATGCAAGGGGGAAAAGTGATAAAAATTTTAAGCGATTAGTTCCTTTGATAAATCCCGATAGTTCTGATAATCTTCGTATTCTTGTTACACTATCGAAAGATAATTTAAATGTAAAACGAGGAAGAAAAATCCTTTGCATAACTAAAGAGACAAATATCATGACTACTCAGTAAATGATATTGATTCCATTAAAAGAAAAGTTTCTTCAGCCAAACAATTTGTACTTTTCAATCAGACAACTTAGTTTGTAGAATGATCTTAATACTGAACCTGATCTTCATGTATAAGTATAGGCATTTGGTAAATTTTGACTATGATTAAATAAAACCAGTAAATTATGAGATATCTATTTAAAACTATCTGACGAATGTACATCTACATGAATGTCATCATTATATAAACTTTGACATTATTTAGTAAACATAGAATTAAGGACAGATAGATAAAAATATGAAGGAATAATAGCAATCATCATATATTCACATTTCTTGAAGGAAAAAATTTCCCAGCGTAGAGTTTGTGGAAGCCCTTCATTACGTTTCACGTTGAAATATTTGCTTGTTGACGTTGAGTTCTAAGTCTGTGAACAACGTGTAACAATAAACAGTGGACTGTTATTTGTTACAAACTACTCCTGCAGGAAATAAACCAACACTTAAAGCCTTCTCAATAAAATTGAAATTAACTATGTAAATTCAGTCCTATCTAATTTTCTGGAGCTGTTGATTAACCTGATTTGTAAAAGAAAACAATATTTCGTGGTTCGCAAAAGGAAATCAGACTGAATAACGTAGTTCCTAAAGTTTTACAATCAAAACTTTACTGCAAAAAACGATAATTAAAGATTTATACATCCAATGATCGAATTTCCATTTCCTTGTAGGTTTAAATTTACAGATATCGTTACCCTCTCGTAGCGTGCTGTTCTATTTAACTACGTTATTTCACTTATTACTAGAACATTTCTGTCCCGATGTTTTCTAGTGAAAATGGAAAGTAATTCGGTTAAATATGTTATTTAAATGTTGAATTGGAGTTTTAACCAATAATCTGGTGAGACCTTACGGAAATAGTTATTTTGAAAGTCCAACATTTCCAACTTCGGAACATGATCTAATAAATCTCAGTACCTAATCAAGAGAATAGCATTTCTGAAAACCTGATCAAATCGTGCAAATTATCAGTACCAATCAGAGAAGCATCAAAAACAACTTATTACCTAAAGCTTGACTGGTGTTTGTACATGGTGTGACTGGAATAGAAAGATTCTAGCGTAAATAACAGTGATATATATAAGCTGTGGAGTAAATTTTTGACGTAGTTAATGATAGATTCACAGCGTCAATACAGGGACCAAGTATGGATTTTTCAGCTCACATTATTCATGCAAGATTTACTTAATATTCGGATATCAAGTTTAAAATAATTTGGTCACATATTCATTTGCTAAGTGATTTAAAAGTTATGACAACAGTATTGCACGAATTTAGGTACCCATTAGTATAATCGAATGAGATATACATTAATTAATATACTTTGCCACTTTTTGCTATGTACTCTCACATTGTTTAGCTGAAGGTTGGGATTCTACGTTGATTTAAAAGACATCTCTAAAGGTCAGTGATAAGTGAAAATTCCTTTTAGAGGTATTCGATCATCGTTATCTTTAATAATATGTCATGATTGATTACCTTAAGATTTTCAAGAGTTACTAATATTCTTTGCTTTAAGTTTCCCACAATATACATGTTACTCTATGCATTTGGATTGGAGATTCTGATTTAAAACAATTAATCTCGTTGAACAGCTTTAGTTTACTAGCTTGTACCTAGCACATAGTTTTCATCCAAATAAATGAATAAAGTATGACTTGTTGTCTTTACTCGATAATTTTAGAGTTGATTTTTATATCTTTTAGTTTATAAATAACCCTTAGTAAATAACTTTTTTGATTACTTCAAGAATGTTAAATGGTTTAGTACATTTGTCGCGGAATTTCTTTTATATTGGAAAAACCTAGTAAAGATGATGGTACTGAATTCACCTTGATGAAGACTGAAATGCTTAAAACATCAAGATGGTCACTTCAAGTTTCTTTAGTAATAATATGAACATCCACTTGAACTAATACTGCCCGCAGAGTAATTTCTATCTACTAATCACCGAACGAGTTTTATGTCTAAATTTTACTTTCAGAGTGAATCTAATAATAATAATACTAATAATACTACTTCCACTGATAATAATAATAACCATTTACACACATAACTGGATGATAATTTGACAATTTGATCTGTTAGACGAATGGGAATCAAAAATATAAACCTAGTATTTACGCCAAAGTATCTCAAACTACCTATATTATTACGCATAAAACACTTTATAAACATACAACTGCAGGACTTGTGTAGATTTACTATCCAATCAGTTATACTTATAAGATGAAGGGTCGTTAGAATTACAATACTTCAAACTTTCTAAAACTCTAGACTGATTACATAGGCATTTCTTTAATATTAGTTGAATTCATCAGTCGATTTAAGCTACACCACCATTGGAAACCTAGAAGCACTGGACTGGCTTTCCGCCCTAGTATGGGACTCAGAAGTGTAGACTTACCATCCAGTATGTGGGACTCGGACCAAGATCCTTAAGTCCCACGCGGGAACGCTTAACCACTAGACCACTGAGCCGGCATCTAAGGGCGTTTATGTCTAACTTCAATCAATCCGTGATCTTGCGCAACCATTCATCTATTGTCTGAGGTAGATAATTGTCTCTACTCGACACGGATCAGACTTCACTAGTCACGGCTTCTTATTAGAACTCCAGGAAATTCATCTCAAAGCCAGTCACCAGTGAGCACATGATGATTATTATTAGAATAGTGGCTTGTGGTATGAATTAAACTATTAAAATGTCACCACAACTTCCAAAAACACGCATTCTAATGATATTTTTTTGTACTAGTCAAGATTAGTCAAATTGGTTATAATTAGTGCAGTCAAGTGGCTAAACTACCACCCATTATACATAACAAAATACCTGGGACCGTACCGAAACAACAAGAAGTGAGAGCAAAATCAAATGGTTTATACAAGCTAATAATAAGGATTTTGGATATCATATGGGGTAAAAGTGTTTCACAGAACTGGTATCCAGCATTATCTTTTATCAGAACAAGTCAGGTTAATCAATAACTACTCTTATATCTGTTGTGGGTACGTAGCTGTCATTTAGTAGGAAAATATGATTTCAAGCTTTTCATTTATTATTTTAAAAAATATTCCCCTTTTAAAATCTCTGTCTTTCTTAATTTAGTCATCAATCAGGTACATACATCCAAGAAAGGAATATTATATTTTATATGAACTTCTAAAACAATTTTTAAATTTAATTTTGCCCAGAGGACGTACCTGAGAAACCCAAATCACCAATTATAATATGTTTCCGTCTTTTAATGTTGGAAATTGAATCAAACATAAAATCGCTAATGAGAAAAAGAATTTCTCCAAGAAAGGCAAAGACGCCGATTGCAACGGGGAGATTACAAGCACTAGACGTTGTGCCAAAAATGCAAATACCTTGATGCGTATGGCAACCTGATGATATAGAACCAAAGACTATCACAGACACTAGCTGAAATGAAAATTCATAAATGTAGCTGTTGGTGAGAAATGTTTAACATGCAAGTAAATACTGACATTGTGACTTGAACGTCAATCGTCTAACGCTCGAGTACATTATATGGTACATAAATGTTTTTCTACAAACAATATGAATTGCATACAACAATAGAGAATCCGTTTCTCTCAAAACTGGATCAACTACACACGACCGACTACCAAGTGGAATGAAAACGGCAGTAATTTTATGGCAATCAATTTAAATTAAAACTGAAGAGGTTATCAATTAAATCAATTTCCGAAATTGCATTATTCAAACACACTAAAGGGGAGATAAGGTATATAGCAGGCTAGTTAAAGATCAAGTACCTCAACTGACATTCTTGATTCTTAATAGATAATAAAGACGTAGATTTTCTTCACCTTCATAAGTACAGGTTAGTCGAAGTACTACGAAAAGCAAAATAATTAAAATGTGCTAAATTCCAAGCAAACTTACACCCCCAAATATTGGATTGTATTTTAGGTATGAAATGAGAACACCGCGTGGAACATGTGATGAATTTAATTTCCATTATTGACTTCTGATGTGCCGATAAAGGAACCGTATCCATACAACCTAAGTTTACGTTATTCAATACTGAGAAAGGTAATAAATGACTAATCACTTGAATCGACAAGTGTTGAAGTAAGGACTTGACATTATCCAAAGAAATATTGAAGGAAAAAAATGCTAAGAAGCAAGCTACTGGCTTGTTGAAATCTGTGTTTCTGTGAAGTTATCATTTCCAGCATTACTAATAAGCTTCATGAAATCAACCTTAATTAAAAGTGTAGCATTTATCAACATACGAATAAAAATAGCTGTGTAGATACTCAACAATGACAAAAATCTCTCGTTTTAACGAGAACTGAAATCTGGATGTGCGCGATCAAAATTCGAGACCGTGTTCTGAAACATTCCAATAAGGACGTGATTGTTTTTTCTCTAGATGTTCGGCTCTTTATTATGACGTCCAATCAAATATAGTCCCCCATTAAACCACTACCACTTTCACAATTAATTTTTTTGCAAGTTCCGTATGTGAAGGGCTTTCGTAAAGGCACCAACGGATTCGCTTGCGAGACTCAAAAACATTACTGATATTAAGTTTCAGTGCTGACAATAATATAGTAATTATGAGATGTGAAAATGTATTTTAAAATATCAACTGCATTCAACTGTTATTAAACGCGTTCGAGTAAAATAAAGTGCTTACGATTGAGACAAGCCTCAGAATGCTGACAGGTTTCCGTAGAAAATCCAATATACTGCTAGTGGTTCCAGACTTTGCTGCTGATAGCAAGTTTGCGGGATTCATCTTTCATCGAATGTAATTTTGGGCCTCAAATGAGCTTTGGTCTGCCTGGTGATAATTTTGTCGTAACACAAATTACAAAGTTGTGTGATTTCAGCTCTAACAGTTCAATGAATCTAGAACGAATAAAAAAGTATCACTACTGTAACAGACAAAAGACAGAAATAGGTTTAAAACAACAACTAAAAAGTCGAGTGATCGTAAATGAAACAGAATGATTTTGGATTCGAAAACATAAAACGTACATCATATAAAACGCCGCACCAGTCTTGGATCGAGAGTACAAATATGGCTAGCGCATTATAACAAACCAACACAATATAATATGAGTAAATGTGTGAGTGATTTATGTGAACAATACATTCTAAAAATCGGTTCACAGATCTCATTTTGCATATACAAAAAATATGCTTGAAAACTGTGGTTGTTGATTTATTCATTATTAACGTTCTAATGGTGAATAACCCCGATAAACATCAATAATTCAATAGTCGGTCACAAATTGACGTCAGCGATTGTGAAGATAACTAGTTGAATGTATATGAATAAAAGCAGTCGAGACATTCATACCTCCAAAACCTGTCGGCCTAAAACCCCATTTCCGTTTCACGTTCAGCCTATATTGCTTTCTCTTCTAAATTACTAATACCCGAAGGTCTGTCAGATGTTCAAATGTTACCTAGGTATTATGTCTTGAGAAGGTGCCTAACACTGCACATTTTACCATGTTTAATTAACTCACGTTGCGTTATGAAACGAGTCAAAAACTTGATGAATCTTCTTGGGGTTATTTCCAACTTACTGACCTAATTCTACAACATTTTCAGGACTCATAATACTCCATTCTGAACAAGTATTTACCACTAAAAGCCGTTTGAGCTGAGTCCTTTAACGGAATACATGAACACTAGTTTCGTCTGACAGAGTGTTTATGTGCTCTCGATAATGTGTCAGAAGTTTAGAAAATTATCACTAGCTGGTTCTTTGGGTTGAGGGAGTAAAGCGTTTTTAGACAGCTCATTGTCGTCCGAGAAAAGAATGGTCTCTTATGTGATAAGGTTTGAAAATTTTGAAAGGTTTCGGTATTTAGTGCAGACATGTTAAATGTACATAAATGGATACTTATTTTGTAATACGATATTTGAATGAGCATCCAACGTATCTGAGGCGATTTTTTTGTACAAATAATCGTCATCCAAGAAAAAAGTCCTGTGAACTAGGGGTATTAGTCAATAATGTCGAGCCCTGTGTGGGTAGAACGGATGATCCCCAAACCACGCAGTAAAATGTGCTACACAAACAATTGTAGTCCCAGAAATAAGTTTTCTGAGCTAAGTATGATGGTTGACGAATTAAGTCCTGATATAGTTGTTGTCAAGAAAACGTGGCTCGTGTGACTGTAGGCTATTCTCTATTTGTAACAGTATATATCTGTATTAGAAGTGATGGAGTTATAATTTGCAGGGTAGGAGGGATAATATTATATGTAATAGACCACTTCCGTATACAATTGATTACATCAGATGCGCACTATAGTGGTACATGTGAAGTAGTTTGTCTTACAGTTGAATCTATACACGAATTAGTGAATATAGAACAAATTTGCCGTTGCTTACGGTGATTCGCTGTGATTTTGTCTCAAATCACATCTGTTCCTGAAGTAAACCTTATTGTTGTCTCACCTTTGAAAGATTCAACGCTTCTCACATCAACTGGATAGAGCTTACAGCTTCAAATATATGTTCAGGGTCATCCTGCTGCCAACAATTATTTAGTGTGCTTCTGTGCATACATCTCAAAACCGACATATCTAACAAATACAACATATTCATCTCCTAGTTCATCAGTTAAAGATGTGAAATTTAATTCTTCATTTAATTTTGAACCAACATATTTTCCACGTCGAAATATTGTTGCACTAGATCCTGCTGTCCGACAAAATAAAGCACCTTGACCAGGTTTTATTTCAAATTGACTGATAATTGTGCCAACTGGTAATGCACCAATTGGATAAGCATCACCTTCTTTTGGATCAACTGGAATACTAGGGATATCTACATGTGAACGTATAATATCTCCAGGTTTCATACTAGCAGTTTCAATAATCCATCTTTTCACTTCACCTGAGGCTACTAAAGCAATAAACGGATGTCTCCACCATGTTTTTTGACCTGTAATACTAATTCTTCATGGATAGTTTTAGTTAAACTTTGTCTGGAACGATTGTGATCTACCATAAACCATGGACGATTTAATCTAGTTGTAACGTGTTTTAGTTGAATTTTACCGTCAGGTCCTCGTTCTCCTGTTCGTACCAATGGGAGTGGGTCAGCTGTGTATTGATGAGGATCCCTCATTTTACTAATTGCCCAATAGCGACTAACTGTTCGCGGATACGTTATACCAGGACGGCGATTTAAACAACAACATGCAACAAATCACAAGAGTAAAACCGTGACATATATTTGACTAGGAGATGAACTACTACAAAAGATTGGTCGGTCAGTATAGATGGACTGATCGAAGACGAATGAAATGGGTTGAGAGCTATATTCAGGTCCGTAACATTGCCGTTCATCATATGGTCAACAAGTAGGCTATTGCTCTTTATGGATAGATAAGCAAACACGAAAGATGTTGAGGCGTGGGAAACACTTCTGAGAATTGTTCCTGTTAACATGCCAAGAACCATTTGATTACCATCTGAAAAATTCGGAATATATATTAAAAGACCATAATTATACTTCGGCCACTTATGAAACGATTACCATCAGAGATTTTAAATTTTCAAAAGCAATGGTTTCCGCACATTCAACGAAGAACAAAACGCAGTGATGGAATTTATCAACTATTGTTGAGCGGAAATTCAGATATATTAGCTGGGTTAGATTTCGTCAAGGCTGAGAATTTATTCAAACCATTCCATCGCAGTCTACAATGAGGGTGTTGTTTACAACACTTCTCATAACTACACACCTAATGGGCTACATTCACTGTTACGTCTATCTCTCACCGACGCTATTTCAGTGCCATTTACCATGATGTTCAACATGTCTTTCCCACACTCATTTCCCTAGGAATTGAAAGGATGTTATAGTTGGCCCTTTATTTGTGTATGGAAAGAGACGGATCGTCTTTAATCACAAGCCTGTCAGTCTAACCTGTCTAGGGGATAAGTTACTTTAAAAATTCGGTTTAAGTTAATAAGCCGCATAGAATCGTTTATATGAGGTTGAAATGGTTTCACTTCCTACCGAGTAATCCTATTAATAATAATATTACAAGGAAAACTATACAATTCGCTAATGACGAAACGTTCTCATATCCCTATAAAATCTACAAAGATAAAAATGAGCTGAAATAGCTTCGAAACAAATTTAGACAGATATCTATGTATCAGAATACTGTTTTCAGTACTATATTTTAAAACTTCACATAATCCTATACCTTCAACTTCTTTTTGAACCACCTCCATTCGTACAGTTTTTTGTCTATTCATACCATATTTACGCTTGTCCTTTTTAACCTACCTTAATAATAGAAAATTTGACTAAGTAGTCATACCTTCACTACTTCACCTCAAATGACACAATTTCAATATGCATGTGTATGTTTTTTCATCTCGTCCTTTCTTTTTCTTACCCTCTTTTAAGCCCTCTCAATATATGCCACCGATAATGCATACGGAACGGTTGACTTTGTTTCGCGCCATCATTAATGCCTCAGATGTTCCAGAGGGATATGAGGTCACGGTTTATAGAAGGTCTCAAATTTACGTGAACTTTTCGTGCCTTAAGGTAACCCTCGTGCTATTGATAGAAGAAACCAGACAAGTAGTGAATAGGTCTTTATTTCGATCTTCGCGCGGTGACAGTGGAGCATGGGATTATCTGTTCAGACAAACAAAGGCTCTCAACATTCAATATAAGATAATAGGGAATATAACGCTTATACAAAACAAGGAAGTGAATGAATACTTGAACAATACTGTTTTGGCATATGCTTGGTTGTTTGGGGTCAACTCTGAACCAACCAACCTAAGCTGTTACATTAGCTTCCCCCTAGAATCGACTTCCTTAGGAACGTCGGTTCGATTAACCTAACTATCGAAAACGCCTTAGTTCTATTTCTCATCCTAAGGGAAAACTATCAACTCGCTCACTGTTTGATTTACAATCAGTGACGACTGACGCTGTCAACGATAGTCCATGGATGTCTCTTCACTTACTAGCTTGTCATTTTATTTTGTAGCATGTGATTTATTCTACAACTATCGCCGATGGTTTGCTGCGTGCTTTCAAGAGAAAGTTTGAGAATGTGGAATAAGAATATCTGAGGAAGTGCCGCGAGCGGGCTACCCAACACCATGTTGGTGAGGTACGATTTTTCCGTGCTCAGACCGGCTATCAGGTGTTTACTCACCTGCCTCTTGAGTCGCCCTCAAGTAAAAAGTAAAGAAGAATCTACTTCAAAGGTAATGGTGAAAATCAAGCAAACCTGAAGAACTGCTCCACTGCCTGCATAAAATAATAAGATACAAAATGGAAATACATAAATGTAATTGATAATTGTTCGGTTCCATGTAAGTGCTTGGTCTCCAGAAGGGATTGGTATTCTGGAAGAGAATAGACATAGTGTAGATATCTTGTGCACGAAAAACTATGAAAACAAAAAAAATACTCTTTTGTAATGCATATATGTAAAAGGGTGAACCTGCTAGAAGTTGGACTGTTTAACAAAATCGATCAAACGCGTGACCTTGAGCCTGTGATGACCGCGTTTTACAACTAGGTGCGTAACCAAGGGTGCATCAGAATACTCCACAAAACGGAAAGGAATATACGGTTAAGAAGCAAAAAAAATTGTGTAGAGTATGCGGATCAAGTACAGTTGTGTCAAATACCCTTTTCTTGTTTGATTTAGGTATGCATAATATATTGAAGCAATATATCGTCAATTCATCCAAGTAACGAATTGGTTTGCACCTCAGAAGTGTGTAAGTCCTATTACTCATTAGTATTATGAGTGATTAATTGGTGTAAGGAAATATTGAAGTCACTTCCTCCGTGGTCTGATGTGGCTTAACGGCTAAGCACGCGGTCTAGCATTCAGGAGGGCAGAGGTTCGAGTGCGTGTGGGGCCTGCGTTTTTGTTCACCAGACCCACCTTCAATACGATGTTTGCTGCCCGTAAGTCGCGCACATATGAGAGAAAAAATGACAAGAGGACAGATTGATATATCAAAGTGCCATATTGGAAAAGTATAAGTCCTTTGTTTACATGAATATTATTACTATAGAAAAAAAAACTACAAG